CATCAACTCGGCAAACAGCTCTCCGTAGTCTTTCAAGCTTCTTTCACACTCTGGTAGAGCCAGACATTTATAGTAAGTTATTCAACTCTTTTTCTGACTGTTTGCAACTTACTCTGACCTGAAACTTACTGTCTCCATCTACACTTAAACAATTACTAAATATGAAAATTGTATTAACTAAGTGTCAGCAAAGGGTTAAAGGTCTGGTGGGAGTTGCCTTTGCTGCCTCACTGAAGGCTGCTGAGACCACCCTTGGGAGTTTAATGGCTTAGCTCTAAGGGAGAAATTAGGGATTCAATGTTTGAGATTTTTACATAGCTAAGGAAGCAAAGTATTTGCTTCGTTGCAGTTGGTGGAATTGTAAAGAAAGAGTTTTTCAGATCTAGTATGGAAACCTGGGTAGGATTAGGGGGAATATGGGATAGAAGGGTGCAAGGGTTAAGGACTATGGGGTGGATGGGGACTACGGCTTCATTGATAAGATGTAAATCTTGCACTAAGCCATAGGAACCATCTGCTTTCTTAACAGGCAAGATAGGGGTGTTGCAGGGAGAATGGATGGGTATAAAAAGCTGATTAGCAAGGAGGCATTGAATGATAAGTTATAGGCCTTTTCGATGGGTGAGCAAAATTGGAACCTGGGGACAGGATGGGAAGGTGGAGAGGTCTTTAAGGTGGATAAGGATAGGTTGATGATGCTAGTGAAGATGGGCTGGGAAGTGCTTTATACTTAAGGTGGCCAGATTTAAAGCAGGACACCATTGGCCTGGGTGGGAGGGTGGGGGTTCTTGATTAAAAATTTGGTCTATATGGACCAAATAGACCGTTCCCTAGCTTGTCGTGCATTCTTTCCCAAAATCGTGACTTTTTTAAAACGCCAAAAATCAGGACTGTCCCGCCAAAAGCGGGATGTCTGATCACCTTATTTATCCTTCCGGGTTTACCCAGTGTGACAGCAGAGTCAAGGAGGGTGTGGGCGGGGAGTGGTGACGGAAAGTATTCACAAAAAGGGAGTTGGGGAAGGAGAGGTAAGTAGCAGGCAGTTCTACTGAAAGCTGACTCCTAGTTTAGAAAGTGCGGTGCAGGGTATGAAGGCATTACTAAAAAGGAGTGGCAAAGAGGGGAGCCCCCTATGTCTAAGAACCAAGGGGAAGTTATTAGGGATGTTGAGGGTTTGCCGTCTATTCCCATAACCATGACCGGGGAAGAAGTTGGGCCCTTGAAAGAGGTGAGGGCTAAAAAGGCAATTCCTGCATGTTCACCAAAAAGGAAACTGGCCTACTCGCTGTCTTGATATCACCCTGGGCTGTTGGGGGGTCACTGGGGTCGCAGAGTCTTTAGTCACTAGTCCCAGCAGTGCCAACGGCTGGTCGGGGTTCAGAGGGACAGTCTCTCCACCACTAGGGGCCAAGAGGTAGTCGATTTTCCAATGGCCTGCTGACCACACACTGGGCAAGGCTTACTGGGTGGACAGGGCTGTGGGCAGTGTTTAGTCCAGTGCGTTTCCCGGACACACTTGAAGCAAGGTCCTGGCAGCAGGCGGTGAAAGCTGTTCTTTCTGGCCGTTTTCTGACCCTTCCCTCTGGCCGGCTTCAGAGCAGCAGTCAAGGCTTCTGCCTTTTCCTCTTGGGCGTTAAAAACTTTAAATGCCCTGTTTACCAGGTCACAGATAGGGGTTTGAGGGCCATCCTCAGCCTTCTAGTTTAAATATCATGTTAAGTGAGGTTGTGAGTCTGAGTAAGACATCGGAACTCTTTGATAAAGGTGGTGGGGTCCTGTGAGAAAACACCCAGCCCGCTCTTTACAGGTGGCTATTGTTGGCCTTGGGAGACTGCAGGTATTGCCTCAGAGGAGGCTGAGCAGGGAGGGAGCCGGAAAGGGGGAGAGAGACTCCAGGGAGTCTGAGGGGTCTGGCTCCGGGGAATGGACTGGTGTCGGAGGCATAATCACCTCAGCTTTGGGGAGTTGAGAGGGTAGCGGAGGGAAGTGATAGTGAGGGGTACCCAGAACATGGAGGAGGCTTTATTGGGGGCACACACAAGGAGTCCGGGGGTTCAGAGAAAGATGAAGGGGAGTACTGTCAGGGGCCTGATTAAGAGAGTGTTTGGCTAAGAGAACTTGAGCAGGGTGACAGGTAGTAGAGAGGGGCGGGAGCGAAGAAAGAAAAAGACCTGGACATAAGGGACTTCAGACCACTGTGAGTTTGCTGACAAAAATTGTGGTTGCAGAGGATGTTAAAATTGAAAGTGCCATTTTCAGGCCAGTGGGACTCATTGCCCAATTGGTTTTGAGGTCAAACTTGGTTACAGAAAAGGACCAGGTGCTTAGGGCGGAGATCAGGACTCAAACCCAATTCAGTAGGGTTGGACAGGAGTCAGGGGATCCCCATGGTGTCTCAAACTGCAGGGGCTATGGGCAGAGGGAAGGGCATCCCATGGTCCCTGTCCACACCCGTCAATCAGGAAGCGGCCCAGTAACCCTGAGAGGTGCCCCTGTCAGAGTTAGGGACCCAGGAGAGAGTCCTGGACTCTCTGGAACAGGAAGGTTCCCTGGCACAGGCCTGAGGCTTTGTCCAGCAGACAGAGACCTTAGATCAGTGAGAGATGCAACAGGGGGCAGAGGAGGTGGAGGGAGGCCTGGCTTTTATGGCCAGTAAAATGGAGGTTGGTCAGAGGCCTTTGTTCAGGGTGAGAGAAAGGGGGAGGAGTAGAAGACTTTAGAAAAGGCACTGCAGAGCTGCAGACCCAAAGCACACAAATAAGTAGAAAAGGTTCAGAAATAACTTCTGCACCTTAATCCAGTCTGAAGGCACAGTGACTGCCAGGCCCAGTGCCAGGAGTCCTGTTAGAGGCACAAATCCCAGGAAGAAAACACAGAGATAAAGACAAAGGGCTGGGGACCACATGAGGTAAGATAGACACGAAAAACTGTCCTGATCGTTGCACCCCTTTTGGGAAAAGGCAGTTAATTCCAGCTCCTCTTAGTGAGTTTGCTGGTCCCCAGTGTCCAGAAAGAAAATCAAGACAAATGAGAGAGAACGAACATACACAGAGAGATACTGACCAGAGATCACTCATTCAGGCAGGCTTCCAGAGGTTCGAGAGAAGAGGGGTGGGCTACATCCCAGCCAAAGCAGGCCGGGACAGCATAGAGCCCCTTGCCCCTACCTCTCCTGGGCTTCAGCTCCAACTGTAAAGACGAACTGAGGCATAGGACGATGAGAGGTAAACTGAGGCACGGGGAGATGGATAAAGATAGTTGACAGGACAAAGGGAGAGCAGAAACAGAAATAGCTTTATTAGGGGGAAGCTCCCAGGCAAAGTCCCGTGGTCTAGCAAGTAGTTCAGGGGAATCGCGGGCTCCTGTTTGAGGTCTTGGGTTTTTAAAGGGAAGTGGGGAGAGGGAGATCCCTGCTGCAACAGCAAGGTTTATGGCCCAGGATGTCAGCAGTGAGGCTTATGGCCTAGGAGGTCAGTGGTAAGGTTTATGGCCCAGGATGCAGTTTATCAGCTCTGGCAGGCAGGGTGTCCGGTTATTAGGGAGTCAGGCATCCCTGGTGCTGTTTCTCGGTCTCCTCATTCCAGGGGGCAACTGCTGACCTTCAGGGACATGCAGGGAAGCAGGGGCTCCAGCCTGCTTAAGCTTAGCCCAATCAGACCTCTTCCACTCACTGGCCCTGAGTGCACTCTGACCCCTAGTGATCTGACAAGACAGGGGAGAGGTGCCCTTGTGGGCTTCCCTGACTATAACTCTGTACTGAAGCAGAGAGTCTCCACTTCCTCCCAGGGAGCAGCGTGGTGGTGGTGGGGGGTCAAACAGCTGGCTTAGTGGTTATCAGCCTAAAGTGTAACCTGCCGTATCACCAGGGCTCCTCACTTGGTTCTTTACAACAATCACACACAGCCCCACCACCAATTCCATTTCAACTCCTAAGAAGCCTATATTGCAGGATAGACCTGCTCCCTAGGGTTTCTGGGATGGTCCATCTTTATAGGAGCAGAAAGCCTCAACTTTCTCCAGGACCACCTGTTGAGTTTGAACCACCGACCTGGAGGTTATCAGTCCAATGCTTACCCCAGTGCCACCAGGGCTCCCTCAAGTATGTTAGGATGTACACATACTAGCCCGAAGGTCGAGCAATGCACAAAGCCTAGGTCAACTGAAGGTCTGACTGCAAACACCTTGATGGGCGATGTGGCTCCCTGAGGAGAGGGCAGTCTGAGCCACTGGCAGTCCAGAATTTGCATCGTGAACTATCCAGTCTCTGCAAGCACCATCTCTCAGGGGCCCCCAGGGCAGGCAGTACAGGAGAAAGGGGTCCAAGCAACCTTCGGTGGCTGTGGAAGGGTGATGAGCAGGTAGGACCTGCCTGCCACACAGACTGATGGGGCTGAGGTACCTGCCTGCCCACCTGGCCCAAAGCTGTCATGTGGAAGCCCCTTTCTGGAGTAGGTCATGGAGGCATGGAATGACGTCTCCAGGGAGCCCGTTGTCCTCGGACTCAAGAGGTGCCATGTCTCTAGCAACTTGAAAGATGAGGATGACACCCTGCCAGGAGGTGCTGAAAGTGTGGCTGAGAGTAACTGAAGGAAACAGCAAGCATAAGGAACGGTGCCTGCAGGGTAAACGTAGAAAAGGGCTGTGGGACACAGACCAACCCCACCTGAGTGAGGTCACACACGACCGGGACACCTGGGCTCCAGAAAGATGGTCCAAGAAGAAATTGCTTCTGTTCCATTTCTTGGTGTGGGGAGTCCTCTGCGTTCCCATCCCAACTCCAAACTCAGCGCCACTGAGTTGATTCCCTGCACTCATGGACCAGGCTGCGTAGAAATGTTCTTTGGGAAAAATGAGATGCTAGTGTCATGACAAAATTACAACCTATGGGCTCCGTGACAGCCGATGGCTTTTCAGTAGAGAAAGGAGATGAACGTGGAAGAGGGAAGATAAAATACACGATGCTGTTTCATTTCTCTTTCTTGGCTGTGTGTCATCCTAAGGTCTTCTTTGGTAATGTGGATGGGTCTGGCGTCAAGCACAACACTTTCAACCCTCCAATGATCGCTCAGTACATCCGCCTGCACCCCACCTACCATAGCATCCGCAGCACTCTTCGCATGGAGCTGATGGGCTGTGACTTAAACAGTGAGTGTCACACCTTATAATAGCCTTCCCTTTCCCCACGGTACATACGGCACCCGTTTGCCCAGGACTAAGGGGTGTCCCAAGACCCAGGAAACATCAGTGTTGAAGCCAGGAATGTTCTGGGTAAGCCAACTATTTGCTCATCCTAACCATGGGATCCCCGGGGTCAGCCACCTGCTGCATAACTATTAATGAGGCAGCGAGAATCGGGCAGGGCTGAGCTCAAACAGGGGGCCCGTTCACAAAACAGAGTGCTGCCAACCACCCTGTGTGGTGAGTGGAGGCCTTTCATTTCTTTGAGGTTGTAGCATGCCGCTGGGAATGGAGAGTCGAGCAATATCCGATGGACAGATTACTGCCTCCTCTCACTTCACCAGTCCGTTTGCCACCTGGTCTCCCTCGCAAGCCCGGCTTCACCTCCAGGGCAGGACCAATGCCTGGAGACCACAGGTAAGAGTCCAAAGCAAGGGGCTATTTTACTTCCTTAGAGCAGGGAGTCACACTTGGGGAGGGATAGGGAACGTCCCTAACCGTCTCTTCAAAGACATTTCCATCAGCCTGTTTTCAGAGTGTCAAAGAAGACTCTAAGCAGAACACTTGACAGACTTCTCTTAAAGGAATACTGTGATTTCACACAGCCTTCACTGGGGAAATGACCCTTCACGAAACCTTTTGGAAGAAGATCCTCTATCTCCAGTAGTGGGCTAAGAGGCATCAAAGATTTGGAGGAGTTGAAGTTCAGCTGTGTGGAGAAATCTCAAACTTTCTTGGCTTTCCGGTGCCACACAGGAGAAGCTCGCAACCATGTGCAGTGTGTTGGGCACAGTTCTCTCCCAGAACCACGCTGTTGTGCTGTTCAGTCACTGGGCAGCGTTTTGAGATGAATGGAGCTAATTGGCTCCCCTCCTCCAGAGACCGACTTTGAACAAAACAGGCAGGTGGTCATATCCTTCACATTGCCAAACTGTCTACACTCTAGTCATCACGATTGATTTTTTTTTTTTGCTTAGTGGAAAGGAGCTTCAAAAAAAGTGTGGAACAATTCCATTATCTTTTCATTCTATTTTCCATGAGGGTTTGGAAGCTCCTGCAGATGTGGCGCGTCTATTCATTCAGAATACATTTGTGGCTGAAGCTGGAGGGATAGAAATGAGTCAGGCAAAACTCCTGCCCTCAAGTTCCTTAGTGTCTAGTGGGGCTAACTGACTAAGAAGCAGGCAATTAAAGTGCAGAATGGTAAGTGCTGGGCTAGAGTTAAGAAGAAGAGACTGAGGGTCAGCAAACTGTGACCAACACTCACTTCTGCAGGTGAATAATGCGCAAGAGTGGCTGCAAGTGGACTTCCGGAAGACAGTGAAGGTCACGGGCATTATCACCCAGGGTGCCAAAGCTCTCCTTACCAGCATGTATGTCAGGGAGTTCCACATCGCCAGCAGTCAAGATGGCCAGCACTGGACCCCCTTTCCTCAGGAGGGCAAGGTCAAGGTATGCTATCCCCTCTCTTAGAGCTTCACATCCAGCAACATATGAAGGAACAGTTGACCAAATGTGCAGGGTCATTGTTTCTGAGTACTTGTGGTCATACAACCCCATGAATGGCCTTTGGGGAGGACACAGTGACTCTAAACACGAAGGTAGCATCCCAGGAAAAGGTCAGAGTGGGGCCATCCATGAACGGGATGGATGTTGATGCTGTAATAAAATTGCACCCAAAATCGATGAATCACATGTCGCTTTATATAAAAGCCTTTATTAAACGGCTGGTTTGAGAGGGAACTATCACCCTGAAAAACAGTCTTGACCTAAGACAAATAGAGTACAGGGTTTTATCGTCATTTAAAGGAGAGGTTGGCTCAAAATCAGGCTGTCGGAGTATGGGGGGGTGCACAGCTGCAGGGGATCCTTCAGAGTATAAAATAGTTTATATTTTTTGCTCATTGGGCAGGCAGAGTCTGGAGACATCTCAAGAGAATCAAGGTCTGTCAGGAAAGCAGTGGGGGAAGGGGGAGCTACCTGCTAGCAGTGGACTTGAAGGCCGTTCCACAGAAAATGAAGCAATTCATGCCAAGCTGGGCTGCGACAGGATTATCCAGGATGATGCTCAGCTCTTCATCGGCAAAGCCTCCTTGACCTTTGGCTTTTGTAAACCAGTCTTCATTCTTGGTCTGCATTTGTTGGCGTGTTAGATTCCTAGTGCTGGCATTACAAGAAATATCAAAAGTAGGTGGCTTTAAAGGACAGAAATGCATTTCCCCAGAGTGATGGAGGTTAAAAGTTCAAAATCAGGGCATCAACTCTAGGAGAATGCCCTTCACTGTTGCTTTCCACTCTCGTCGCCGCAGTCACATGGGGCTTATCGATGCACCTGCCTCCATCTTTACCTGTGTGTGTGTCTGTGTTTTGTCTGCTCTCTTTCTAAGACATTGCTCCCCTCTTATGCGATATGACCTTATTCACACACGAAAGAAAACCCCTGTGTCTAAACATGGACAGTGGTTAGGACTTCAACATGACTTTCTCAAGGATACAATTGAATCCAGATTGTTGTTGTTGTTACAGTAGACAGACAGTACCTTAACAACAGCCACGGGGTCCATCCAGCTCGTTGAGGGCCTTCCTCTTGTTTGCTGCCCCTCCACTTGACCGAGCATGGCGTCCTTCTCCAGGGACTGGTCTCTTCTGAGAGCCTGGCCAAAATATGAAAGATGAAGTCTCACCATCTTTGCCTCTAAGGAGCACTCTGGCTGTACTTCTTCCAAGACACGTGTATTTGTTCTCCATATCAGCGTGGAAAGTCAACATACTGTGCTGATTGGAAACTATGACAGAAAACTGCGCTCTCCTAAGTAATGGCCTTTATTTCTCTTTGTCGCTTTTAAAGTTATTACTATTATTTTGGTGAAATGTCGGTAATAATGCTTAGACTAATTCAACAGTATGTACTTAATCAGTACAGTGACATTGATTACGTTCTTCAAGCTCTGCGGTCATTCTCACACCTTTCCCAAAATATCCTGTCCACAGTACCTTCACAGCAGACAGACAGTACCTTAACAACAGACAGTACCTTAACAGACAGTACCTTAACAACAGATAGTACCTTAACAACAGACAGTACTTTAACAACAGACGGTGCCTTAACAATAGACAGTACCTTACACTCACTGCCCCTCAAGCTTCTCATCTAACCGTTCATGTCACTGTTGTCAATTACATCATCTGCAGACAATTCTCTAAAAGTGTACAATACTTGAGGCAGACATGTTTCACCAGCTAAGCTAAACTATTATTTGGTTTTAGGAAGATTTGGGGGTTATTTTTGGTTTAGGTTTAAAGATTGTGTCAGGGCAATGATTTCAGAGGTTTCCCTAGTGCCTAGATAAGGCTTCAGGGCATCTGGAGTCCGTGAAAAGTTAAAATTCTGTTCCACATCCCTGTCCCGCTTTGTTCAAAAATGTTCCATCATGATAGTCAAGCACCGTCTCACTGCTCTGGTCTCGATGGAAGGGAGGCCATTGTTGGTGTAGGCAGTAAGCTCTGCCTTCCCATTCTTCCTGATTCCTGATCTGCTTCTTCCTTTACTGCTACTCTCGAAGAAAGGCCAAGTACTGTACCCTGCAGGACCGTGAACCTCCCAACCCAGACTACAAATTCCTGGAGGCATTTGGTTGTCCAGAGAAAACCTCAGGAGCTCCCCTTTTATTGTTGTTGCTGTAAAGAGAGAACACAGTGCAACCTTTTTCAGGTGTACAACTTCGAGATCGAATGACATTGATTAGGTTGCTCAACCACCACCCTTAATTTATGCCAAATCCCCATCACCATAAACAGAAGCAATAGCTCATCTCCATCCTGTTTTGTAGCTTCCATTTCACCCACTTCCCTAGCCCAGCCTTTTACCACTTGCCCCTCTTCCTGTTAAGCGACGATCACACAGCATGCTAGGCTTCTTTTCTGTCTCGCACCACGCTTGTATGCATCCTGCTTCTTCCACCTAGATATTTTCCCAGCTACCTCCACTGTCTCTTTCACCAAGACTCACATAAGCACTTGTTTATCTGCCAAGAAAAACTCCCTGATCCCTCAAGCCTGGACTAAAAGCTGTCTCTGGAAGTTTGGTAGATGCAGATGTTCTAAAGGAAATTTTCACTTTCAAAAGGCTCCACAGCTGACAGGCTATTCTGTTACGATGTCACTGCATTCATATAAGAAAAGGCCCGTTTCCAGCCTCTTCCCCTCCCACGGCAAATGAGAGTAATGAACAACCACCAAAACCCCACGAGCTTTCAATGAAAGTTAAAGAAGCAAATGAACCCAGAACAGGGAACGATGGGACATGAGCAAATGTAAAAAGTAGGACCTTTCCTGAAGAAGCAGCCCTAGTGGTGTGTAGGCAATGCCAACCACAAGGTCAGCAGTTTCAGCCCACCCGCTGCTCCTCAGGACAAAGTCGAGGGTGTCTATCCCATAAAGATTTACCGCGTCAGAAACCCAAAGCGGCAGTTCTACCTTGTTCTACAGGGAGGTTGTGAGTCAAAGCTGACTCTATGCCCAGTGAATTTCCCAGGAAAAAACCCAACAGCCTTTAATAGTATTGATAACTCAACTGGAGACATCTGAAAGCGGAAATGCCGGAAGGGAGCCAAAGTGGGTGCGGATTAGTAGCACACTCTGTCTGCCCTATTGAACTGCCTCTCAAATCTGAAGTAGAGGCAAGAAGCCCCACTTTAGACCTCCAGCATTTCCACATCCTAATAGCAAAGAAATATGAGATCATCACGTCAGTACACATGGAAGAAAATAAACCTTTGAGCACAAATGACCAATGCACATTTTGGATCCGAAGTACATCAACTTATCAGAAAGATTACATCAAATCATTATGCACACTTAAACACAGAAACACCCAATAAAGGGTGGAATATCCAAAATTATTAAGCACATTTGAGAAAAAGATCTTTTAGAAATGACAAATATAATTGTTAAAGTTTAAAAATCAAGGAGTGATTGAAATAATAGACTATGCACAGCTAGAGAGAAATGTGATCAATTGGAAGCTAGCTGAAAAAAATGACCCATAATGTAACACAAAAGATGGAAAATATGAGGTAGCAATTAAGAGACCCAGGAAATGTTAGCAGAAGTGAAGGAGAAGGACCAGTGGGGAGGAGCAACGTACGAAGTGTCCAGAACCAGTGAAAAGTAGCAATGCAGAGATGCAAGGAGTCAGGCATCTCCTGTTCAAGATGAAGACAGAAGAAGTCGATAACTAGTCCCTTTATAATGGAGTGGCAGAAAATCAAAAGAAAAAAAATGTTGACACTAAAATCTACACTAAAAAAACCCTCACTGCCATCTAGTCAGTTCAGACTCACAGTGACCCTATCGGATGGGACAGAACTGCCCCTGTGGTTTCGGAGACATTTATGGGGGTACACGTGGTAGGTGTGGTACGTGTACATGAGGCTATATGGTGTGAGGTGTGTTTGTGAGTATGTGGTGTGTGTGATATGTATGTGTGGTGTGAGTTGTATGTATGCATGGTGTGAAGTGTGTTGTGTACATGTATGAGGCATGTGTGGTGTATTTGTGGTATATGTGGTGTGAGATATGCAGTATGAGGTCTATCTGTGTGATGTGACTGATGTAAGTGTGTGGTACATGTATAGGTGGTATGAGGTGTGTATGTGTGTGGTGTAGATGCGGTCTGAAGTATCTATGTGGTGTGAGCTGTATATGTAGTATGAGATGTGTGTGTTCTGAGTTATATGCAGGTGTGTTATGTGTGTGGTGTATATGTGGCTGGGGGTTTGTAGGTAGAATGAAGTGTACATGTGTGTGCTATGAAGCATGTGTAGGCATGTGGTATATATGTAGTATGAGGTGTGTATGTTTGTAAATGAAGACAGTCTACAGACTGTCCACCCCTGTCACAGCAGAGACCACCCCTGGGTGCTCTCTCCACCCGCACAGCATCCCGCTCTTGCAGAGCCCTCCCCACATAGCGGGGAAAGATCACCACACACAGCCCCAAGTCTCTGGGCTGACGAGGGACAGCAGGTGCGTGGTCAGCTTCACAGGCCATGACCCTGGGGGCCCCTTGAGACTCAGCTGCCCGCAGCACTGGGGAGCCTCCACCCACACCTGTCATCTTGTGGGATGACTACTGACCCACCACCCAGGACTCCATTCCATCTCTGAGCGCCTCTGTAGGGCAGAGGCGAACTGCCCCTGGGGATTCCCAAAGCTTCTGCTGCTTAGTGGGGAAGGCGGCCTCACCTTCTTTCCTGGGAGCAGCGGGTGGGTTTGAACCTCCAGCCTTGAAGTTAGCAGCCCCACTCTTAACCCACAGGGCCACCAGGATTCCTTGGAATTCTTAATAATATCCATCTACGCTCAACAAGAGGGCCTTGGTTTGGACAATGGGGATATCACTACTAATCTGTTTCCCCCATTGCTAATTCCAGCGGGGACAGCATGTAAGC